CAGCTCACCCAGAGTACCACTCCTGCTGCCCCCTGGGCTGCACTTTCCCCCAGGCTGTGCTCCAGCTCATCCTGAGGAAAGGGACATAGCTCTGAAGGGCCTTCCTCCCTCCCCACAGCAGATTGCTGTAACAACACTGGATGGGACAAATAATTCATAACCCCCACCTGGGCTTTTCTGGCCCTGGTGGTGAGAGGCAAGCCCATCCTCACTCTGGCCTGTGCGTGCCATGCACCAGGCACTACGTCTTTCTGATGAATGCAGAATCATCTGTGCTGAGCACAGAGCATGGCACACAGAGCTCAAGGAATGGAGAATGGATGAAAGTGCCCCAAGGCCATGCAGCCTCACTTACTGGACCTGATGCCTGACAAAGTAGGCTATACGGTGGGTGGGGTTATAGAGGGAGACTCACCAAGGGCAGAGAGCGGTTCGTCCCGTCGTAGAAGATCTGGGCATAGGGCAGCACTGGCAGATCAGGGTCCCCAGCACCCACAGCCACACGGAATGCCTCACCTACACGGTGCCGCACATACACCTGTCCCTTCCCTGTGCCCTCTAGCTCTGTAGGCATGTAGATGCTGGGGTAGAGGGCACGGCTCTGACCCCACAGCCACCCCAGCTGGTCATTCTGGGCACAGATACCCGGGGGGCACTGGCCTGTATAGTTGGGGCTTAGAAAGTCATAGTTATAGCAGTCAGGGAAGCCATAGAAGCCCCAGAGGCCACGAGGCCTCAGTGCTTGCCCCAGCTTGAGGGTGCCTGCCATCCAGGCCTGTGCAGCCTCCTGGAACTGGTCCCGAGCTGCGGCCTCCACCCAAGGCGCTGGCCAGTCAGGATGCTGCGCCTGCACCAGTGACCGTGAGCGCTGCCGATAAATGTCTTTGGCGTCCCAGTTGAAGGCCCAGCGTGGGCGCCATGCCTCCCAATCGATGACTGCCAGCCCTGAGAAGTCAGACGCAGGGATGGCAGCCAGGATGTCGTGGAATGAGTGGGCCAGGTGGGTATCCAGGCTGGAATTCTGGGGCAGCCCACCAAACACAGGCTCCCCGGCAGACGTGTAGTAGGGGTAGGTGCCCAGCTGGTAGCTGTAGAAAATGGTCATGTCAGGGCCGCGGAAGGTCTGCCCCGGGTTGGCCACCACATCAAAGACACTGACGTCCACGTCCACACCGTATTTCTCCAGGCACCACTGGGTGTTTGCATTCCAGATGGTGGTGAAGGGCTGGTTGGGTACCATGGGGCTCCTGGAGCCTTGGGTTTTGTCCAGCAAGGTCAGGAAGAGGGCGTAGATGGGAAGCAGGTGGACTGCCATGGCACAGGGTGGTTCTAGTGAAACCTAGCCAGGGGAGGCAAAGCTGAGAGTAGGCCCTGAACTCTCTGACCCCTGCTCAGGGAAGGCTGGCCAAACCCCTTGCTCATTAATCCACCCCTGCTCTGGGTTTAGGTAAACACTGACCTGCAGGGCTCAGGGAGGTCAGAGGGCAAAGGAGAGGCTTGGAGGGGTCGCACTGCCACTGGAGGGGCCTCTGCCCTGTCTCCCACAGACTTTGCCCTGGCCTAAGCTAACCAATCCCCTTCCCCAAGAGCCACAGAAGCCATGATATGTGTTTTCATAAGAGCCAGGCCCTCAGCCGCGAGGCTGACCTGACTGTGATGGGGGTGGGGGTGGGGGGGTCCTTTCCTGTCTCTCCCCGCAGGAATCCTGGCCAGCCATTGGAGGAGGAGATGCTCAGTGACCAAAGACAGGTCAGCCCAACCCTCCTTGTATCCCCGCCAGTCTGCCCACTTGTCCCTGCTGACCTCAGGGCTGAAGGGCCTCATCCTCCAAACTTCCTGACCCCAGGCTGAGGGCCTAGGCAGGGCTCAGCAAGATTCTGTTCCTCAACTCTGCCCCCAGCTGCACCAGACTCTTGGAGGAAGCTGCTGCTGCTGGAAACTCTGAGCTTTTGTAGGGGGTCACCCCACCCAGTCTGGGGGCGGGCTGAGGGGCAGGCCCGGGGTTGGAGGGCTGGGCCAGGCAGCTGAGCCACCTCAGCACCCCTAACAAAGTGCCCTTGGTAGGAGGTGGGGCTGGGCCGGAAGCGGCCCCGCCCACTGGGTCAGCACTAGGGCAGGGCTTTGCGGCTTTGTGTTGGGGTGGGGGTGGGGGTGGAGGCAGTGCGGGGGAGGGGGTTGCTGTTTGGTTGGCAGACCCAGCTGGCAGGCCTGTCTGTGGTACTGGAGTCTGGGTGCCTCAGTACCTATACCAAGGGAGCGTACTTTCCTGCACAGCTGCACTGTGACATTTGTGGGCCTTAAGCACTTTTGCTTTTTTGGGACCCTTTCTCAAAACGTCAAAAAATACATTTTACAACTATGTTGGTATAAAGACAAATATAATCCCAACCTAAGTCATTATATATTCATTATTAATATATATCTTCTTCTGATTAAAAAAATTAAGATTTTGGGGGTCCCTAGAAGTATTGTGGCCTCAGACCCTATACTGACTATGCCTAGGGGGGTAAGTCACTTCTGCTTTCGGGACTTGAGTCTGAAAGGCGCTGTGTCTGTGAAGTCAGGGTTGGTCAGTGAGTGTGTCTTTGTGAACCCCAGGTCAGCTACTATCTAGGCCTCTGTGCCAGCTCCAGTAGAGGGTGTATGTGCAAGTGTGGGACCCGGTGACTGGATTGGGTGTTGAAGACTCTGCTGTCCTGTGACTATGAGATCCCATGTTTGACCACGGGTGTGTCAGTGACCACATGTTTGTTCATTCCTTTGTGATTTCACTTGTTTGCTGATTCAGAAGCTGATTATTGAGACCTGCTAGGTCCCCAGGCCCAGGCTTGCCTGCCAGGGTGGGGTGAAGGGAACATCATGTCCCTGGCCCAGGTGAAAGTGCTACCTGAGTGAGTCTGCAGCCCAGTCTGAGCCTGAGGTGGTGATCCCCTGCCTGGCATGGTGGTCAATGAAGCAGTGACACAGCTGGCTATCATCTGGACCTGGTCCTGCAGGCAAGGATGGAGAAGCTGACAGTGGGCCTATGGTGCCAGGGGGCTGTGGGTACATCAGCGAGGACCCAAGCACAGCATCTAATCACAGAGATGGTGGCTGCTGATCCTGGTGGAAGCAGGGTCCCAGAGTGATGGCCACCAGGCTCAGGGAGACTGGCACAACTCCCCAGGGCTGAGGGGACAGGAGAACATCAAGGCAGCCCTGACTCCCTCTCCCTAAGGCTTTGTACTACCTTCTGGTGCCCCTAGAAACCTAGGCTGCAATTGGCACAATCCAGCCAACCATCAGGCCAGCATCCTCCAGCTGGCCTCAGTCTAGGGGAGAAGTTCTAATGGTGGAACGGCAGGAAGGAACACCCAAAGCCCTCCCTGACCCCAGGGCCCTGCCAATAGACCTGCCCTTGCTGAGTTGGTCTGGCCAGATGGGCCCAAGTTCTGTGTGTGGCTGGGGTCACTCCAGCTTTGTGGTCCAGCCCTGCCTGCCCTCAATGCTCTCATACCCTGCCTAGGCCACCTCACTCCCCATTACCCCCACCTGCCCACCCACAGATCCGGCTGTCCCTGAGTTGCACTTTCCACAAGGCTGTCTTTCCAGGTCCTCCTGGAAAGTGATGTGAAGTGATCACAGGTTTGCACGGAGGTGTCACAGCTGGGTAGGTACAGGCCACAGCTGTTTGGGGGAAGGTAGCAGTTGTATAAGGTCAACATGTGAAGGAAATCACAGCTTTGCACATGTACGTGTAGGGGTCCAAGCTCGGTGGGAGAGATCACAGATGTGGGTGTTACAGATGCGTGTGGGATAGCTCACAGGTGTGTTTGAGGGTCCCAGCTGGGTATGGGAAGTCAGAGGTGTAAGGGAAACAAGTTTCAGCTTCTCCTTCTTTGCCCTCTTTTTATTGGCTCCATTATCTCACGACCTTATTAACAATACCTTCATCTTCTGTCTAGCAGGCCACTCCCCACCATAGCCATGAACATCTGGGCACCCTTCCGCCCCAGCGTCCTCCTCTGCCATGTGAACTGACATTGCCTTCCCTGAACTACCACCCAACCCCTTTCCCTCATTCTTTGCCATCACCAGCCAGAGGGATAAGGGATCACTTTACAACCTGAGTTGACATCAATTTGGTGGGGCTCGCTTCTCCAGGCTCTGCTCCCATGACCACTTCTGACTCAGCCTTCGCATCTAGTGTGCATCCCCATGGAGACAGGGCTCTTTGTGGTGTGCCTCACACATGCATCCCAACCCAGCACCGGCACATGTATGCATTATTTACTGAATGGGTAAGGGAGTCACCACCGTCAGGCAAAGTCAGGCTTAGTGCTGCTCTTGGGCTGCCCCTCCTGCCCTGCCTGCTGTAGCCCCTAGCCTCAAACTGTGAGTCCCAGTTGTGTTCTGACTTCCTCCAGATTTTGCCCATGCTTTGTCTCTCGCATCAAGCTTCCTCTTCCCTTTTCAACTCAGTGTAGGAAGGACTACCTCACGGATATCTCCCTTGTGGCTGGGCTGCCCGCGCCCCCTCTTCACCACTTGGCTGTTTCTCTCCACAGCCAGTGTTTGCTGAGGACAGGGGCTGTGTCATCACCGATATGGACAAGGGGACCTTCAGGTGTGGGTTTGATGGCTGAGGAGAAGGGCAGAGACACACCAGGTAACTTCCTTCAGAAGCAGGGTAGTAAAGCAGTCCAGAGCCAGTTCAACTGCTCCAGCTGCTACTTGTCTCCCTTGGGACAGCTCAGGACAGGCTATACTTCCCACGGCCGGGACAGAAGTGATCTTTGAGGTTGTCTCTGCTCCCAGGCTCAAGATACCTCCCTCTCGCCCCATCATGCATCTTTGCAGTGGGACAGGGATGAGACCTTGGCGTTCAGATCCCAAACCCCAGTGGAGGACTGCGACCCAGCTGGAGAGAGGGCTGTGTGGCTGGAGTCTACTGCCCTTGGGAGCAGGGAGTGGAGGAGACGCCCTTGCCTGTGGGAACATCAGGGAGGGGTGGTCTGGCTACTTGCCCAGCCTGGGAAGATCAAACATCCACTTCCCCTTTCTCCCTGGGTGGGCAAGGCGAGGTGACTGGCACTGGCCCAGCTGGGGATCCAGGGGCAAGTAGGAGAAACACAATGAGCCCGGTCCCTCACAGAAGGTTAGGCCCAACCACTTCCCAATCAATATGGAGAAAGCAAGGTCCTTGGTGTTGGGGTGGAATGTGAGTCCCTCTAGTCCCACTGGCCCCTGCCCCATCAGGCAACAGCGGAATGGACAGCTCTGGGCCTCCAGGTCCCACAGATGGCATTTGACAGATAAGAAGTCCCCAGCAGAGAGTCTGAGAGACCCTGGATTCTCTTTCACATGTCCTGGCCTAGTTGCAGACAGTCCAAGCACAAAGAAATTGTTTTATATTTAATTTACAAAAGAGACCCCAAAATAATAATAATAAACCATCCAGGGGCAGGAGAGTAGGGTCAGGTCCTCTCTGGCCCGGCTGTGCCCCTCTTCCTCTCTGGCAGGGAGAGAAGGGACCTTTTGGGGAACTGCCCCTCCCCCTTAGAACAGGGGGGTGAGAGCTGGTATGGATGCTCTACTGGGCATCCCAGGGGCTCTGCCCCCTCCAGACTCCAGTTTGTCCACCCCTTGCAGGCTCCTATGTGCCTGGCAGAGCCATTGTGGCAGAGGCCAGCTTGTTTGGCAGCCGGGTGAGAGACCTCTATAAAGTCCAGGTGAGGGCCAGGGCTGCCACAGCCAGTGGGCCAGTGAGGTGGGACCCAGCCCAGGCCCCACTGGCACCCCCAGCTGCCCGTGTGTGGTCCCACTGGCATTGCTCACCACCCCAACCTAAGTAGCACTGGCAGCGAAAGTGCGTCTGCAGGTGGTTGAGATCAGCCCAGCTGAGCTCCCCCTCTGGTCGCAGCTGTGGCTCACCAGGTACATGGCTAGGCACCAAGCGGAAGCTGCTGGCACTGAGGTGCAGGAAGGTATTGGCGCTGGGGTCGCGACGCACACAGCGCCCGTGGCCATGGCACTGGGCCCGGCTGCAATACTGGGCAGCCCAGGACACGTTGACTACGTAGGGGACCAGCAGCCGCGTCAGGTAATCCTTGAGGTACTGGCAGGTCTCCTAGGGGCAGAGGCCAGGGATCAGGGTCAGCTGCCTCAGCCCACAGGCCCAGATGGAAACTCTATTAACCTTCCTTTAACAGCACACACATGTGTATCTGTACATGCGTGCTTGAACCCTTACCGTTCCTGCTGAGAAGGGAAGTGGGGACAGAGATGAACCCAGAAGGGCACGTAGGGAAGGAACCCTGTTTTCTCTACTGGGACCAGGAATGCCTTGGGTGGGAGACTAGGTTTGCCCACCTTGAGGGTCAGCAGCTCAAAGCCCCAACTTTTGCCTGGCCCCTGCAGACTCCACTCTGGTAGGCTGGGTGGGGGCGCTTACTTACCGTGCTGGTGGTGTAGCCTGCATCGCCCCAGAGGATGACACCGGCCGCACCCAGGGCTGCACTCTCACCAATGGTGGAGATGAGATCCATCTGTGTGAGAGGGGGATGGTCACTGGGGAAGACTGAGACCACAGGGTGAGGACCAGGCAGGCTGGACAGGCCCTCACCCTGTTCTGACTTGCTGATCCCCTCAGCCCAGTACCCCTTCCCACCCCCAAGCAGAGGCTGTTTCACTTTCTCATTAGATGTTCAAGTCACTTGCACGCCTACTTTGGCCTCCATTTCCCAAGCTAACAACCCACTTGAGCTGAAGATGTATCTATCAGGATAAACCCCAAAGTCAGAATGCCTAGTTCCAAGACCCTGCTTTGCCCTGGATGTGCTGGGAAGCTTTGGGTGAGTTTCTCAGCATTTCTGGACCTCAATCTTCTTATTTGCAAAATGGAGATAATGATGCCACCCTTTCACAAGGTTACAGAGAGAATGACACAAGGGAATGTAGATAGAAAACCGCGGGGCAGGAGGCCCCCTGGTAACCCAAACCTGCAGTGGTTCCCTGGGGAAGAAGGCAGGGTCCTGGGAGGCACATACCTCACTAAGCCCCGTGAGCTTGCGACTATAGGTGGGTCGCGTGAAGACGTAGACCGGGAGTGCGTGGTTGGGGTGGTGGGTGTGAGCCACACGAAGGGCCTCCTGAACACGGAAGCTGACAAAGTTGCGGCCGTGGGTGGAGGACGCAAGTGTCTCGTCCAGGTAGACAGAGGGGAAGAGGGCTGTGCTCTCTGCCCACAGCCAGGCCAGCTGGTCATTTCGGGAGACCTCAACGTCAGGGCAGCGACCTGTATAGGTCTCCCAGTTCTGCACATAATCATGGTTATAACAGTCTGGGAAGAGGTAGAAGCCCCAGAGGTGCCGAGGCCGAACTGCCTTGACAAAGCGCAGTGTCTCCAGCATGAACTGCCGTGCAGCGAATTCAAACTCGTATTGCGCCTGCTTGACTACACGATCTGATGGCCAGTCAGGGTGGCGAACAGCCACCAACTGGCGTGATGATTGACGGTATATGTCCTTGTCCTGCCAGTTGCGCACCCACACAGGCCGCCAGTCCTCCCAGTCGATAACTGCCAGCCCTGCAGGCTCCTGTGTACGAATGTAGTGCTCCACGTGTTCCTGCAGCATCTTCAGATGTGCCCAGAGGCTGCCATTCTGTGGCACGCCACCGTGCACTGACCTCCCCACTGAACTGAAGCGGGGATACAGGCCCAGCCGGTCATGGTAGAAAATGGTGATGTTCTGGTTCACAAAACCCTCATTAGGTGAGGCCTGTACATCAAAGGCCTTTAGGTCCAGTGGCACCTTGAGGCGAGGGCCACAATCTTGTGTGGGCACGTCCCATGCTACCACAAAGGGTCGGCCTGTAAAGATGGGTGGCGCTGTGGGCTTGAGCTGGGTGGCCCATGCCGCCGCCCACACCACAGCCAGTGTGATGGCAGGGCCCAAGCCTGCCCACATGCTGGGGGCTACAGGAAAACGGTGTCACCTGCCTGGCACCAGCTCAGGAACTAGGGGAGAGATGGGAAAGAGCAAGTCAGTCTAGAGAATCAGGGAGGTGCCCACCCCAAACCCATTCACACTCCCCAAGCCCACGCTGTGGGGGGCACCATGCCCAAGGCTGTTGAGACCCTGTTACGTGACTGTAACAGGTCTGAAAGACCACAGGAGGGAAGGGAAGACACCCTGGAACTCCCTGCCAGGAGCACAGGATTCCTTCCTGGAGCAGGTGGCTTACGGCTGGACAGAGACCTCTGGTAGGTGTGACTCTAAGAATTGGCCGGCTGCACTACGGACTAGCTGTCCACAGATACAGATGCCTGCATACCACCCAAAACATGGTTTCAGAGAGCCTCGAACCCGCGGCCCACTCTGTACTCCATGAAGAACTCCTGGTCCAGGGAAACGATAGCATTTGTATAAGGAAGGGCACAGCTCATACAGCCACAAGGAAGCTGGAACACAGCCGCGAAGCTATCATGTGTGTAACACCCGCCAGGAAGAAGAGCGAGAACGTCAGGACTTTGTCTCGAACGCACTCTCCCAAGCTTGGTGGAGGCCCCACCGGGACAAAGGGGTGGCGGACCTCCCTCGGCGGCGCCGGCGGACCGGCCCTTCGCTCCGCAGCCACCGGGAATGCGCCCCACACCGCCAGACGGGTCCCGGGAGGAGCTCACTCCCCCTGGCCTTTGTGCTGGACCCCGCCCCCGCCCCGCACGTGGGGCCAGTGCCCGGCCGGGTGGGGGTTGGGTTCCTTGGCCGCCCCGCTGAGCGCATCCCCTGGACTTCTGAACCCAACCTGAAGGAAGAAAGCCGCTAGGCTTGCACTGCCCGCCCTCACCTCGCGCGGGGCGCTGCCGGGACCCACGCCATGGCCACTGCCATCCCCGGCCCAGCCCGGCCCGCTCCGGCCGCTAGCCCAGGCGCAGCCCAGGCTCCGCGCCTCTGCTGCTCCGCCCCGCCCCCTCCCCACCCCGGCCCGCGGGCCCTTTAAGAATCCAGCGCGGAGGTGGGCCTGGGGCAGGACTTGTGGCCGGGGCGGGAATGTGTTCCCGACTTTCGCGCAGCCAGTGCCACGTTTCAGGCTCCAAGGCCCCCAGATTCTTCCCCGAGGAACGTGGCCATCCATCTGGGGCCGTGAGGCCCCTCCGAACAGGGCTTTCTTCTGGAATCTTGGGTGCTAGTGCCAGTCAGCCCAAAGTTTCCTCCCCCACCAGCTCACTGTCGGTGGTACAGTCCTCCCCGCTCCGCCGCGCGACCAGCCGCTTAAAGGGACAGCGTGAGTCGGGAGTCGCGCAGGGAATAAAGAAGGTGTTCCTCCGCCTGTCCGTAAGGTGGTGCTGCTGGACCCGGGGCCTTGGCTGGGGGCAGCAGAGGATCTGGATCTGTACCCGCGAGTGTAGTTCCCAGCCGTGGGGCCCTTAGTTTGGAAAGAGATATGGTGACCAGAGCCGATCTCTGGTTTCCCAGGACAGTAACGCCCAGTCCCCTGTGGATCTGGGGGCTACCCGACCCCAGTCCCAGGTCTGAAGGGAAGCCCTGCCCCCTACCAGACTTAGGGAGGGGGTCAAGCACCCTCCTCTGGGCCCTTCGTAGGCAGGGCCGAGGTAGTAGTTGTCTTGGCAACACGAGCTGTGGGTCGCAGCTTGGTCGGCCCCACTGGGGGCCGGTAAGCCCAGAGGGCCCTGGGAGTTGGGCCCCCTGCCCCCGACTTGCATTAGGGACAGGTCAAGGCCTCCGGTTCTCTCCTGTCCAGTCTCTGTGGAGGCTTGTAGGACACCCCCC